CGGAAAGGTCAAAACAAAAGCGATGTGTCGATGCAGATGTAGGGGGCCATTACGCGGCATTGATTTTTCTTCGCTAGCGTTTCCCCGGCTCCCGAAAAGATCGATGCTAACGACGCTTCGGCCAGAAGCAATAAGTCGGGAAGTGAATACCCAAAGTGTGCAACCCAAGTGATGTGTGCTACGCCCTGTTCTTTTTACTCTTTTAGCATAACCCAGGGTTATCATATATTGAACGTTCTCTGTGGCCCGAAAGCAACCAGAAAGGTTTCATAATCTAAAAGTGTATGGTGTATATTTAAAAAAAAAATCGTAGAAAGCCAATTGCTAGAATCTGTGCTAAAAGCACGATGCATAAAGAAAATTTGTATAGACTACCTTTGACCATAGGTAAAGCGCAGTCAAAGGGAAGGAGATACACTATTATAGGCAGATACGAACATAACGAAGTCCCGGGGCATTCATTGCATAATAAATTGTGATTACTACCTGCATTAAATATAATATATCTGACTTAGATTTTCTCACCTCTCCCCCAAAAGAAACAATGAATGCATTTTTTTACGTAGCTATTAAGTTCATAACATATCAACAGCCTCGAATTGTGAGTCATTTGGTCTTAATTTAGCGCTCTTTAAAATAGACCCGTTGATATACCTGTCTCAAAATGTTTATTGTACTGAAAAAGTAAAGAAACCAAAGGTTGAGAATTAAAACCGCTCTTTGTTATAAAGTAAATAATACTTTGTCGCACACCAAAACGTCAAACGAGGTTTGTTACATTAATCTTCTTATGCTGCCACCTCTTACTTAAAAAAAGTTGTTTTCATGTATCCTAGAGTTTAATAATGTGTTTATGTTTTTCTGAGCGTAATTAGTTTGTGAGTGAAAACATCTAAATAGCAGACGCGACCACTCTCTTGCACACCTGCATCATGCCTAAGGCCCACAAAACCGAAACTCTTCCTTTTTTAGTTTTTCGGTGAAAGTTTCTTTAAGAACTATCTCCACGTTTTACTGCGTCAGCAAGTGGATAGTGCTTTATCATACTTCTCTTTTCGTTAAGAAATTCGCACTGTGTGAAGGTGCAAACGTGAGCACAACACCGGCGTTTTTTTATTTAAATTTTAATGTTTGCAGCATCTTGCTAAGGCTGTTTTTTACGCCTTAGGATTGTGATGTATTTGAGATTTTCAAACACGACTAGAAGCTTTAACGACATCCCAGTTGTTCTCATATAAAAACAGTGAAAACCGCCGCTTTCTTGTTCGCACTGGCAATGTTGTTGGGTGTACGTCAAGTAAATAATAATAAAACACCGACCTTAAAAAAATAACCTTTGACAATGTAAATAAATTTGGAAAATATAGCAAATTAATTAAATGTTGCACGGTTTAAAATAAGCATCATAGAATCTTCAAAGCTAGAGTGCTATATTTTATTCAGGTTCTCAATGCTTCAGCCAAATATTTGCCTCCCCAGTTCTAGAAAACAACCCTTTAAGGTTTTCCTACAAGCTTTGAATTGTTGAGGGTTTATTTAGCACAAAATGTGTTTATGGTAATACTTAGCACCGTAAGTCAATTTAAGCCTATTACTTAAGCAATGATTACTGCTGCTTTTGAGATAGGGACATGGCAGAGACGCGTTTTTCAGACAGTGTGAAGTAAAGTTGCCTATGTTACTAACGTAACAATGAGAGGCAGAATAGGACAAGTAAGTGCCACGTTCATTGAATTTCTTTGCGCAATATGCTGCTTTCTAGAAGGTTCTCAATTCTTTTTCTACTTTGTTCAATAACTGTAATGTCACATCACATCCTTCTCGCTGTGTCGTATTGCACTGAAATCTCCATCAACTAGCACACGTTTTTGAACGTCACGTTTTCAACGTCTCTCATTTATCTTGGCTACCGAGTTCACTGGTGCAGAGCACATAAACATTGGAAGCTTCCAGCAGATTCCGAACTAAAATGGTGCCCGCACATCCCACGCAATCCTTGAATAGACATGTCTGAGGCATCAAAACAATTTGGAGACGGTGCGAAACGAAGATTGATAGGTGGTCCATTCAGAGACAGTCAACGCTGGGACGAGAAAAAAGGCACGAATTTCCCCAACGCCTTTTTTGTCTTTCGGAAACGACGAGCTTTGCACTGCATTCGCGCCTTACTCGATGAATGCACCGTTCGCATTGCAGCTAAAGCTCGTATTTCTGCGTCGCTCCAGGCGGCCTGCTGAATTCTCTTTTGTGTGCACATGATGAGCGGGTACGCTGTCTTCTTCCGGGTAAGCCTTTTTTTTTTTTTTCCTACTCGTGCATAGAAAACTTTCGGTGTGGCTGAAAGGAATGGGGCGCTTTATTCTGATCAGTTTCGTGTGGCTCATTCTGGTGTGCTGTTTACAATTTGTTTCCAACTAACCTCAGTCGAAGCAAGGACGTGCTTTGTTCGTCTCAGTTTTTTCACTGTTTTGTGAAAAGGTCGTCAGAGCAGTGTTTTGGCTCTCACTAAATTAAAAATGGTATTGTTTAATGGATTCATGAAAGTTGAAATGAACTAATGAAATCTTTTTCGTGAGTTTTTCATTTTCCGTATACAGGAACCGATGAATGCGTAGATTCTGTTTTACTTCATATACCTTCTTTTATTTTCTAACACACACACACATATACATACACACGCAGAAACACACACACACACGCGCGCAAACACACACACACAGACACACACACACACACACACACACACACACACACACACACACACACACACGCACACACACGAGGCCTGAAAATCGTTTCTTCCTAAAATGAAGTCACATGTGGGACTGCACATGTCGTGTGAATACGAAAACGTCTTACTAGGCATTTCGGTGCATTAGCGATTATACTGTTTTGGCTCCGAGTACCACAGTATTCTGGGTAAGACTTTCAGATGGCAATATTTATGAACTGATTATTTTCACTGCTTAAATTAGAACAACTCGTTTTAATTGCGATTTATTTTATTTCTTAAGGTAAAAAAGCTCAGCGTGTCTATGAAATCTCCCGTTAATTATGGATAACAGGTTTAATACATTCTTAAGTTAAGACTAATCTAAATGTCTGCAAGTGCACGAAAATGATTACCAATCTGGTAGAACGAAATGGCTGCGACCACTTTCGTATCTTAAAATTGAACTTCAAATATATTGTCTTTTAGAATGAACGAACCTGCACGTCCAAACTATTTGTTATAGTTTATTTTATTGTATGTTTAAGAGTTTAGACCATCCCAAAATCACTTCATACAAAAATGATACAGCCTTTTTTTTAAATAAATTTTTATTAAATATAAAGTTTTAGAGATTTTTCTTGTATTGAAGTGCGTCCCCTCAAAAGCTAACATTATCTGATTATAACAATATTGTACTTGATGAATAGCTCTTTGTTGAAGCTTTGATTCGATATATTATTTATGCCATAACATTTAATATAACAAGAGTTTTGAGAACATACACCAGGTAAATTATAGTCTAAAAAGCCAGTTTCTACATTGGAAAAAAATTATAACAAAAACACGATTTCATGAGCATTTTGGCAAGGTTACTTTAGATAGAAAAAACAGCAACATGTAAACGATGTTTTTTTTTCGAGAAAATTATATATATCCCAGTGAAGCACCCAAATACGCGAAGTGCAAATATGACGCAAAAGCAGTTTTCAGATTCGTCCTGGTTAATAATTTTCCCAGCACATATATATTTTCTGAACGTTTGAGACATGGCTCCCTTTGCCTGCACAATTGTCAAAGTAATCGCTTTTAAGTTAGTGGAACACAGAAACTCAAGAAGAAGGTCTGCTCCCAAATTGACAGAGAGCATTGAGCGACGTCATTGCGATAATCAGCAACCCTCTTTCATTTTTCAGACTTCGCTAGAGGCTGGGCATTTGCGAGATCTCTGATTTATGATTGGTGCAAACAAACGTGCCTACTGGCTGATGCTGAACGCGTCTATCTACCAGCCTACTAAACTGTCTCACGATGAATAAGAGAGAGGATGGGAGAGGTACTTCAACGAATCAAGTTACAAATAAGTATTTCTGTGTGAATGGGTATTAAAGTCCCAGCGTTAGCCGCGACACCTTATCTGACCCTAACGATGTCACGTGAGCTAATGACGCCACAATATTCCGTAACTCCATGGCGTCACGTGACGTCACGACCTCAAGACCCCTAAGGTCACGTGTCAACGTGACGTCATGAGTGACGACGGACGCCCTGTTTTATGTCGTGCGGAGGGAAGAGCTTGTAACAGGTATCGTTGTATAACGAGCTGCATTACACATAATGTGCGGGATGTTTGATTTTAATTCGAACATATATTATATTTTTAATCAATTAAGAATCGCAGTTTTGCCATCTTCACCGTGTATTTGTCAGGGTCGGCGGACGTTACATGAGTGAACACCCGTCAAGGTAAGTTGGCTTAATTAACTATGTTAATTACCTTTTAATGCGTGGTTGTATGGGTCTCGTCGCCATTGCATTATCTGCGGCAGTTATAAATAGAGTCTAAACCAATTTAGATAGTTTCGAAAATGCCATCGGGTTTCAATATATTCGCCGATCGGTTTTCACGTTTTTCAGAAGCGATTCCGAAACTGTATACGTAGGAAGAGAGACCGCACTTCAGTTTATAGGATTGCGTGGGAGAGTGACGTGCCCGCTTCGAGAGCTTCGCCATTACCTGGGCATCACGTCGTCAATGCCTTCGACAGGGACAGGTTACTGAGATGATGACGAGGATTCGGCCACTCTTCATCGCATCCCTCTGGGGTTCTAGGTTGAACACTCGGCGAAAAAGTCGGCAAGATAACCGACCGCCGCGATTACCGGTTTACCTTGGCGCTGGCCGATCGGGGGGGTCCGCAATATCGCCGACCTTTCCGCCATGTGCCAACTTCCATTGAAGACGTGGACGAAATTTTGCGTGCCTTTTTGGTCACGTCTGGGAACTTACCGGCCAAATCCATAACTTATCGATAAATATGAGAAAATCAGAGTGTAATTTTTACTTGTGTTACGGTCTCGACATTGAAGACGGGGGCGGCCGAGAGCAGGTTAGGAAAGGACGTTTAATATACGTCAGGCAGGTATGGCTACCGAGGAAAGAACTCTAAGTCACGCGGATCGTGGAGCGCTCTTGGGGTACTCTTCGTCGTCTTCGAGGACGGCGCTAACATTCGGCCATCCTAGCAATCAAGTGCCCTCACTTGATGTTTCTTCACAACTTTCTTCACTGTCCACATCAAATGTGTTGAGTCGTTTCAGCTTATCGACGGGAGCCGTTGAAGTGTAATAACGTTGAGTCCGCTGGTGGCCAGGTATGTCCTCGATGCGATAGGTGTCGTTTGGAAGTCGCTTCGTGACTACGTACGGACCTTTGTATTTCTCCTGCAACTTGCGCGATTCTCCTATCGACGTCGGTTCTCGCTGAACCACAACGATATCTCCCGGTTCAAACGTTGGAGCATGTCGTCGCTTCTGGTTGTAGCGACGCTTCTGCCTCTCTTGATCAAGTCGGATGGCTTGGATAGCTGCCTTCCTTCTATTTGACATCTCCTCGCTAGTTTTAGTAGACAGGTCGGGCAAAGCGTCATCGAGGTGATCGCCATTCAAGCTTCTTGACTCGAAGTTGAACAACAATCTGAACGGTGTGCTGTCTATTGCTTTGTGGTACGTGTTGTTCAGGCTCCACTGAACAAGGTCAGCAACCTCATCCCAGATCGTCTCACCTTTGTCCTTTGTCAAAGTGGCAATCGCTGGAGTGATCGTCCTGTTGAAACGCTCGACTTGACCATTCGCACGCGGTGTGGCTGTTGAAGTCAAAATGTGAATAATGCCAGAGTTTTCACAGTACTTCTTGAATGTCGTGCTAGTGTACGCCACTCCTCGGTCCGTGATTACTCGCGTCGGCGCTCTAAAAAGTCCAACGATGTGTCGCAGGCATCGCGTAGTCGCTTGGCCTCCTGCGTTCTTAAGAGGTGTGAGTATCACAAACTTTGTGAACCCGTCCACAGCTACAATCAGGTACGTATTCCCGTGTCTGGATCTTGGAAACGGTCCCAAGTGGTCCAGATGGAGTGTGTGAAGCGGAACACCGACCTTGTCGATGGAATGAAGCATGCCAGGTTTCTTTCCTGTTGGCGTCTTATTATAGAGGCACTCTGCGCATGAGGCGACGTATCTCCGTACATAGCGCTTCATTCCTGCGAACCAGTATTTCTCCTGGATCCGTTTGATCGTCTTTTCCGTCCCCACATGCCCCAGATCATCATGGGAACGTCGCACAACCTGCCAACGCAGTGGTTTCGGAACAAACCACAGCAGCCTTGATGAGTCTCCATCAATGTTTCGGAAGACAACATTCCTCTGGAGTTTATACTCGGAGTGGATGCGGCGCTCCTCAGCCGAGGACGCAGGTTTCTCCAGAACCTCTCTGATGTGTTTCACATCGGCGTCCAGTAGTTGCGCGGCAACCAACCAGTCATCCGTTTCTTCCATCGCTGTAGCGTAGATATGGAGTCCTTCGCACGCCTCCATCTCTTCCGCTGGTCCAGTCGGAGACCTACTCAACGCATCAACATGCTGCATAGACGCTGAATCTCTGTGAATAACCGTGAAGGTGAATTCTTGCAACCGCAACCACCAGCGTGCCACTCGGGGTATGAGTTCACGTTTGCTCATCGTTCCCCGTAGGGCGCTGCAGTCCGTGACAACGTTGAAATCGATTCCAAGAAGATAAGTCCTGAATCGTTCCAACGTCCACACCACGGCGAGTGCTTCCAGCTCCTATGAATGATAACGTCCCTCAGCCTCTGACGTTTGACGACTTACGTAAATCACGGGGTGGAAGTGGCCATCACTCTGTAGTTGAGGTAGCATGCCCCCCAACCCCTTTTTGCTTGCGTCTGTGTGAACTTCCGTCGGGGCTTCATGGTTGTACAGGGCCAACACAGGGCGTTCCTGCAAGCGCAGCTTTAGGACACTGAACGCGGTGTCCTGCTCTGTGGTCTACTCCCAAGGTGCGTCTTTCTTTAGAAGCTTCGTTAATGGCTGTGCGAGAGTTGCCAAATTCTTGACAAACCGTCTGAAGTAACTGACCAGTCCAACAAACTGTCGGACTTCGTGCACTCGGGACGGTGTTGGAAAGTCAATTAGAGCCTTCACTTTGTAGTCGCTGGGTCTGAGTCCAGTCGCTCCGATCTCGAAGCCCAGATACGTGACTTTCTCTGTCATGAAGGTGCATTTGCTTATACGAAGTGTAAGGTTCGCTGCTCGTAGAACCTGGAAGACCTGCTCGAGATGAGCAAGACCCTCATTAAAGTCGGTGGAAGGGATAAGAACGTCGTCCATGTACGCTAGGGCGACACCATATCGCAACGGTCCCAATACGGCATTCATCATACGTTGAAAGACCGCTGGAGCGTTGGTGAGACCGAACGGCATTTTTAAGAACTCGTAATGTCCGTCAGGCGTCACGAAAGCAGTCTTAGCTCGGGACTCCTTAGCCATTGGAACTTGGTAGTAGCCCGATGCCAGATCAAGCGTCGTAAAGCAGTAGTTTCCCTGGAGTCGGTCCAGCTGATCTTCGATAAGAGGTAGAGGATACTTATCCTTCTTAGTAATCGCATTCAGCGCTCTGTAGTCAACACAAAGTCGTTCCTCTCCGGTTTTCTTTTTTACGACAAGTAGTGGGCTCGCATACTCGGATGATGAGTCGCGGACAACACCTGCTTCTTTCAGTTCTTCTACGGCCTTGTTTACTCGAGTGCGTTGGTCGTAGGACAGCCGGTATGGACGAAAAGATACTGGTTTTGCCCCAAGAACAGTCTCGATGTTCATCTCTGTCGCACTCGTAGAGCCAAGCTCGAAGACGTTGACGGCAAAGCAGTCACGGTACTCGTTAATGAGCTCTAGCAGCCTGTCAAATTCTTCAGCAGTCACCTGAGGCCCCTTTCGTACATCCTCCGCCTTAATCGGTTGCAACATATCCGTCGTCTTTCGCTGGCACGCAGTCTCAATTGTTCCTGAACACCAGGATCCTCTGGCTGCAACTTCTCCTTTCGAAATATGGAGGTCGGACTTCGATACATTCAAAATAGGCAAAACAGTGTTGCCGCCTTCCGAGACATCGATTACGCAAGCAGGCAGACAGTGTTCCCTGCCCCCTTGCGTTCGAAATTGTGCGTCAACGAAGACGTGTCCTGTGGCGGATTCCTTGGTCGTCAGACGAACAATTCCCACGTAGTCTGGTGGAATCACGACAGACTCCTTGGCCCAGAGCGTGACAGAACGTGGCGGAAGATCAGGAACTTGAACGAATCGAAGCTGGTCATCTTCATCAGCAAAGCTGCCGTTCTCTTCAAAAATGCGAAGTGTGTTCCTTCTTCGCACGATCGTGACATGTGGTTGCTCAGTAAATGGCTGTCCAACGAGAAGCGGAATCGCTTGCGCTTCACTTGGAACAATGTAGATTGGAACGCGGGCTGTAGCTTGGTCCACTGTGACGCTTGCTTCCGTCATTCCACACGGCAGAACTTGACCGGAACCGTAGCCCGCAATCTTGCATCCCCGGGACGGCTCGTTATAGCTGATTCCCAAATCGTCGGCATCTATCTTGCGCAACGTAACGCACTGACTGCCAAGGTCAACGTAAGCTCGAATGGGCTTCCCGTCTACCAGAGCATCTTGAAAGTACTTCTCGTTTCGTGCATTCACTTCCTGTTTATCTTCAATGTGATGACTTTTGACGTTCGTACTACCTTTGGCACTTGCTCTGCAGTCCGCTGTTTTATGTCCTATCCGTTGACATTTGCTGCAGCGTTCTCGCTTCTGTGGTTTACTGCAGTTTGCAGATATATGTCCGTATTCGTCGCAGTTAAAACAGCGCGGCTCACCGCTAGAGTTGAAGGCCGGTTTTCGTTTAACAACTCTTTGGGTGGATCGGTGATTCGATGGAACTGTCTTGACAGTCGCTGAAACGGTCGCCACATCTGACCGGTGGGACGCTTCCTCAATGACGGCGAGTCGGTCGTCCAAACATTTTAGACATTCCAGCAGAGCCTCCGGTGTCGGGAATTTCACAACGCTGAGACTTCGAACGAGAGATTCGTTATTGATGCCGGTTATGACATAATCCACGATCTGATCTTCAGGAAGTTGACAGAGTCGAGCTAGGCTGACTTTTTCATGAAAGTACTGCTCGACAGTTTCGTTTGCCAATTTCCGTCTCGCTTCCATCTCTTGGTGCCGGCGCTGTAAGCATATGACGGGTGGAAAAGCTTTCTTCAGCTCCGCCTTCCATTCAAGCCACGAGCGCTGGACACTGACGAGGCCGTAGTACCATGTTTTAGCGATTCCTTCCAGTTTCGTCAGCGCAAAACACGACGTCTGTCGCTCGTTCCATGAGTATATCACAGAGAGTTCGTCGACTTTTCTTATCCAATGTTCGATGGTCTGCGCTGGATTCGTCACGGGGTTGAACACTGGTACCAGCTTACCAGAGTCTGTCGGTGGTCTTACGTCATTCGTGGGCTGAGCTGTGGAACGTAGCAGGTCAGCCAAGCCCGTGATCGCTCCTCGCACGGCGGCTTGTACGGCCTCCTGTACAAGAGAATTAAGTCCAGGAAGGTCGCCTGTCGGTACATTCAATCCAGTCTGAATTGCCGGAGGGACGATGGATGGGCTCGTCACCGATGTTCCTTGTCCTTGATTAGCGGTGTCGGAGAGTTCAGGATTTCCAGCTGCCACACCACCTTGGCTCGTGGTCGCGCCATCGCTACCGCCAAGGCCTGTGCTCCCTGCTCCAGTAGTAACGGTGACTGGAAGTCGGGGAGGGCCCGCTGCCGCAGTCTGTCGGGTCCGGTTCCGTTCGCTGCGCCGCTGACCTTCCTCGTTCGGTTCAGCCATGTCGAGGTTTCGTTTGGCGCCGCTGTGTCAAGTCGTAGCCGCAGGATTCGATCCGAAGTGG